CTATTCAGCATATACCCTAGCCAATCAAGGAGCCGAGTAAAATAACCAGTATCCCAGCCAGTAGAACAGACACCGAGTAGAGGTACATGTGACGGAAAAAGGATGGGCCCAGCCTAAAGGCCCAAAGAAAATACTATAAATACGGGATCACCCACCAGAGAAAGGTATGTGAGAATTATTACACTTTCTCTGGTGGGTGAGAATTATTACCAGAGAAAGGCTGGGCCTTTAGGCTGGGCCCATCCTTGTACGACGGCAAATCAGACCCCACCGACCACATCCGCCACTACAAACAAGCCATGACATTGCATGCAGACGACGAGGCCCTCATGTGCCGAATATTTCCCAGCAGTTTGGGACCATTGGCTGTCAGGTGGTATTATAAACTAGAGCCGGTTTCGATCAAAACCTTCCACCAATTACAGAAATCCTTCAGGGCCAGATTCATCACCAACGAGGTCCAGCCGAAACAAGCCGACTCTCTCTAGGCAATGCCAATCCTGCCAGGAGAAACACTAAGAGCATATTCGGCGCGATATTGAGAATGCTTTAATCTTGTTGATGACGTTGCAACGACTCCATGGCCATCACCGCCTTCAAAATGGGATTACATCCAGATAGTGCCCTACATAGTTCCTTGACTAGAAGACCTTCCAAAACAGTCTGGGGGTTGATGAAGAAAGCAGAGGAATACTGCAAAGTGGAAGATGACGCCTTGCGGGTTAAAGTTGGACACATGGCCAACAAAATGGCCCTTGAAATTACTCAGCCAATAAGTTCCGTACCACCTCAAAGCCCTGAACCACGACAGCGGGCTAAACGAGACAAGAGACGGGATTCTCGCCGATCAAACGATCAATGCTTACACCGAGCAAATGAGCAACTGCAAGTTGATAGTAGGCGCACAAAGCGCGCCGACAAGAAATATATGGAGCTGTTAGAGCCAATCAGTTCAGTTATGTCCAAAATCCAACATCTTCCGTTCTTCAAATGGCCGTCCAAAATGGTAGCACCTCCTGACACGAGAAGGCGGGACAGGCAGTTTGAATATCACAAAGATCACGGTCATGATACGGACAGTTGCTATGCTTTGAAAGACCACCTTGAGGAATTGGTGCAAGATGGTTAGCTCCAGCAACATGTCCGAAAGAGCGCAATCAAAACAGTTGCCCTTCGGCAGGATTCACCTCCGCTTGGAGTCATTCATATGATATATAGCCTTTCGACGCCTCTTACAGCACACGCCATTCAGTTAGCCCCCCAGAAGCAATGCACACCAACGAAATGGCCCCACAAAGCTTCGAGTATTATCTTCGACGATTCCGATCTTATTGGCATAAGACTCCCCCACATTGATCCATTGGTCATTGAACTACACGTAAACCGATTTATCGTTGAACGCATCCTCATAGACCAGGGGAGCACTTCGGAGGTTATGTATTACGAGACATTCATCAAACTCGGCTTCAACAAATCAGACCTGTCTCCGGCTCCTTATCTATTATTCGGCTTCACCGCAAATCCAGAGTACCCGTTGGGGAAAATCACATTACCCGTTCAAGCGGGCTCCCAAACAGTGGATGTGGAAGTCTTGGTCGTCAAGCTCCATTCGCTGTATAATCTCATCATGGGGCGAACTTGGTTGCATACTATTCAGGCCGTGCCAAGCACCTATCATTAGCTGCTACGCTTCCCGACCGAACACGGCATTGAGCAAATCCGTGGCTCCCAGCAATCCGCACAAGCAATCAGTGGTTCCCAGCAACTCCACTGAAGTGCCGAATTGAAACAGCCTCGACGATGTCAGACGACTCCCTAGCGAAAAGCCACGGAAGCCCTAGGCGATACCAGCAACAGCATGCCAAGTCGTATAATCAGCGCGTTCAGCTGCGCCGCTACACACCGAGAGAGTTGATCTTGAAGGGACTTCCGGATGACAAGAAATGGTTGATGAAAAATTGGGTCCTAACTGAGACGGCCATTATCAGATAGATTCCATATTGGCTCAGAAATATGACAGGACGGAGTCTGCTACGGCCCTGGAACTCGACGCACTTGCGAAAATTCTGTCATTAAACCCGACTTCTGAGGAATGATTCCAATTCTAAATGATTCGCCGTGTACACGTTCCACTTTTGTAATTCAAGGATTCTTGTTGAAAAAGTTGTAATCCCACCCACTGCGAAATCTAGTTAAAAAGTGCTCCGACAAAAAGCCTTCGGATTCGGAGCCCCCTCAGCACATGACGCCTTTGGGCCGAAAAAGCCTCCGGATTCGGAGCGCCCTTCGTGGATATCATAATTGGCCAAAGTCTCTGGATTGGGAGCCCTGTCAGTGCATGATGCTTTTGGGTTGAACAAGCCTCCGGATTCGGAGCGCCCTTCGTGGATATCGCGATTGGCCAAAAAGTCTCCGGATTCGGAGCCTCGTCGGTGCATGACGCCTTTGGGCAGTAAAAGCCTCCGGATTCGGAGTGCCCTTCGTGGATATCACGATTGGCCAAAGTCTCCAGATTCGGAGCCCCGTCGGCGCATGACGCCTTTGGGTCGAACAAGCCTCCAGATTCGGAGCACCCTTCGTGGATATCACGATTCGGAGCCCCGTCGGCGCATGACGCCTTTGGGTTGAACAAGCCTCCAGATTTGGAGCGCCCTTCGTGGATATCACGATTGGCCAAAAAGTCTCCGGATTCGGAGCCCGGTTGGTGCATGACGCCTTTGGGTCGAAAAAGCCTCCGGATTCGGAGCAGCCTTCGTAGATATCACGATTGGCCAAAGTCTCCGGATTCGGAGCCCCGTCGGTGCATGACGTCTTTGGGTCGAACAAGCCTCCGGATTCGGAGCGCCCTTCGTGGATATCATGATTGGCCAAAAAGCCTTCGGATTCGGAGCCCCCTCGGCGCATGACGCCTTTGGGCCGAAAAAGCCTCCAAATTCGGAGCGCCCTTCGTGGATATCACGATTGGCCAAAAAGTCTCCGGGTTCGAAGCCCCGTCGGTGCATGACGCCTTTGGGCCGAAAAAGCCTCCGGATTCGGAGCGCGCTTCGTGGATATCACGATTGGCCAGTCTTCGGATTCGGAGCCCCGTCGGCGCATGACGCCTTTGGGTCGAAAAAGCCTTTGAATTCGGAGCGCCCTTCGTAGATATCACTATTGGCCAAAAAGCCTCTTGATTCGAAGACCCCTCAGCGCATGACGCCTTTGGGCCGAAGAAGCCTCCGGATTTGGAGCACCCTTCGTGGATATCACGATTAGCCAGTCTCCGGATTCGGAGCCCCGTCGGCGCATGACGCCTTTGGGTCGAAAAAGCCTCCGAATTTGGAGCGCCCTTCATGGATATCCCGATTGGCCAAAAAGTCTCCGGATTCTGAGCCCCGTCGGCGTATGATGCCTTTGGGTCGAAAATGCTTCCGGATTCGGAGTGCCCTTCATGGATATCACGATTAGCTAAAAAACCTCCGAATTTGGAGCCCCCATCGGCACAGGACGTCTTTGGCCGATAAAGTGTCCAAATTCGTCGGACCAAATGGTGTCCCACCGGGCGACGCTCAAAGGCCAAGTAATATTCCGAATTCGGAGCGCCCTCCAGAATGAAAAAACATTTACACATCAAAGCAGGGATGTGTAAGTTGAGCCGGCACAACCGCATGAACAAAACAAAACGTGCCAACATTCGAAATTAGATGCTTAATTAAGCACATAAAAATTCGGAATGAGATGTAAACTTTTAAAATAAAATATTTTATTCGATTAAATAGTAATTACAAAAACACAATCCGTGTTCGAGCATTACAATATCTATTTCCATACGGCGTCGCCTTCGTCCTCACCCTTCTCTTCGAAGGCGAAAAAGGGGAAATGGTCACGTTGGTACAACGGCAACGCCGAATCAACGCCCGCTGCTCGGAGAGCATCCGCAGCTTGAAATGCATTGATCTGACCGCGCTCGAATCCACGATGTTCAAACCGGCGAGACAACCACCCTCGAGGTGGAGAGCTTTGACACCATAGACAACATCAAGGCCAAGATCCAGGACAAGAAAGGAATTCCCCACGAAAACAATAAAACTCAACGGTTGCGGCGCTACGTCGGCCTCATTTCTGGGTCGTGGTTGCGGAGAACTTCCCTGTTGCTGTTTCTCCCTTCGGGGTGATCTGCTTCGACGACTTGGAGGCTAACGTTTCTCCCGTTCTTTGAACGCCCTACCTCTCGCACGGGTGGGCTCTCTATTGCTATTCATTGTAGTATCAAGCTCAGCCAAAGTTCGAGCTTCTCCTCTGCTGTTGAAGAAAACTCCATTTGACATTCACACTTATCTAACCCCACATAACAAAATTATTTTAAATCTAGTCTGAACACAGTAAGTGAAGATTACTGGCGCGCAGAGTCCGAGGTGATTTATTTCTAATCCTTGCAGTGACCCCGAAGCGACTTCAATAACACTGAACTCCCAAAGACCGACGTCGATCGATATTGGCCACAGCCACCCCATGTACTAATTTTTGACTTTTTGGAGTTAAAATGGCCTAATTATATAAACTGCAATTATAGAGGGGCTGACAGTCTCCGGATTCGAAGCGCCTGCTTCATGACACCTTTGGGCCAATTAAGCCTCCGAATTTAGAGCCTCATCGGCGCATTGACCGTGCCTGACGTATACCAAACATATATTTAATGAAGAATGCTCATGACGAGCCGACATATAACCGTTCGGAATTAAACGCCTAGTTGACTTGGGCCGGTCAATGTTTATACAATGAAACACACGCAAACACGTGTGTGTCGAATGTAAATTACAATGAAACATTTAAAATAGGACGTTTTATTCAATCAGACAATAATTACATAATTACATAGTATTTTTATACGGCGTCGCCCTCATCGCTCTTCTCGACTTCAAAAGCAGAAAACGGAAAATGTTTACGTCGGTAGAGTGGCAATGCCAAATCAATGCCCGACGCTCGGAGAGCTTCTGCGGCTTGAGATGCCTTGATCCAACCGTGCTTAAAGCCACGATTTTCAGATTGGCAAACTTCTTCAGTGAGTTTCTCTTTGGTCTTCTGAATTCCGATCAGTTGGCCGTTATGAAAGCCTTTTTCATAAGCCGCGTCTCTCGCAGTCCCAATCGTGAACATGCTAGCCGTATTACGATCGGCGATCGCATCACCAATCAACCTTTGAGTAACCCTCTCTTCGACAACCGGGTTGGGGTGGCTGGTTGATTGGGGCCTGGCATACTTGGTTTTCCTTAGCTCACACTCGGCCTTTTCGGTGCGAGCTTCTAACTTCTGTATGCGTTCGTCTCTCTGTTCTATGTCGCGGCGAGCGACGCAGAGACGCATGCCGATCTCATAAGCCGTGTACAGTCCCCTCATTGTCCCGTGAATGCCTTCATGAAACACTTCGAAGTCCGGCCAACCTACCATCGACTGTTGGACTTCGGGTTGAAAAATCTGTCGAGCAAACTCGACTGCCATATTTGGATCTCGAATGATCGAATCTGCTTCTGTCATTGGTCTATTACCCACGAAGACCGTGAAACTCATTGGGCAAGGAGTCGCGTCAGATTCCCTTCCAGAACGGGGTTGAGGAGACTTACGCTGTGGCTGTTTGTCCCTCCTGGGTGGCCTACTTCGATGACGAGGAGATTGGTGTCTCTCCCGATCCCTCGAAGTCCTACTGCCCGTGCGTGAAGGTTCACCGCTTCGACTCATGGCACCTCCCAGCTCAGCTAGCACCTTCGCTTCACCTCTGTTGTTAAAGAAAAGCTTATTTGACATTCGAACTTGTTTAATCTTCCTCAAAGAGCTGGACTGAGTTGCTGACTGAGCACATAAATAAGACGCTCGTTCACGAAGTACACGCCCATTTATTCCCTACGAGGGCAGCACCTCCGAGGCAATCTCATTAATATTGAAGCGTCAACAGCCTAGTGCCGACTGAGTCATATGCCCCAATCGCCCCATCAACCACTGTTATTCGGCGTTCTACGTTCATGAACCAGCTGGGGCAAGGGCAGATTCATCAATCTAGATGGCTTGAATGCCCCAGTCGTTCCAATCAATTTTACAATACAAGATTCATAAGTAACGTGTTATTCAGCGTTCTACGTTCATGAACCAGCTGGGCCAAAGGCAGATTCATCAATCTAGACGGCTTGAGTGCCTCAGTCATTCTACATATCGATTCTACAGTACAAGATTCATAAGTAACGTGTTATTCGGCATTCTACGTTCATGAACCAGCTAGGGCAAGGGCAGATTCATCAATCTAGATGGCTCGAATGCCCCAGCCATTCCCCGAATTGATTCTACAGTACAAGATTCATAAGTAACATGTTATTCGGCGTTATAAGTTCATGAACCAGCTGGGGCAAGGGCAGATTCATCGATCTAGACGGCTTGAATGCCCAAGCCATTCCACGAATCAATTCTACAGTACAAGATTCATAAGTAACGTGTTATTCGGCATTCTACGTTCATGAACCAGCTGGGGCAAGGGCAGATTCATCAATCTAGATGGCTCGAATGCCCCAGTCGTTCAACGAATCGATTCTACAATACAAGATTCATAAGTAACATGTTATTCGGCGTTCTAAGTTCATGAACCAGTTGGGGCAAGGGCAGATTCATCAATCTAGACGGCTTGAATGCCCAAGCCATTCCATGAATCGATTCTACAGTACAAGATTCATAAGTAACATGTTATTCAGCGTTCTACGTTCATGAACCAGCTGGGGCAAGGACAGATTCATCAATCTAGACGGCTTGAGTGCCCCAGCCGTTCCACGAATCGATTCTACAGTACGAGATTCATAAGTAACGTGTTATTCTGCGTTCTACATTCATGAACTAGCTGGGGTAAGGGCAGACTCATCAATATAGGCGGCTTGAATGCCCCAGCTGTTCCACGAATCGATTCTACAACACAAGATTCATAAGTAACGTGTTATTCAGCGTTCTACATGCATGAACCAGTTGGGGCAAGGGCAGATTCATCAATCTAGACGGCTTGAGTGCCCCAGCCGTTCCACAAATCGATTCTATAGTACAAGATTCATAAGTAACGTGTTATTCGGCATTCTACGTTCATGAACTAGCTGGGGCAAGGACAGATTCATCAATCTAGACGGCTTGAATGCCCCAGCCGTTCCACGAATCGATTTATCTGTAAAGCAGTCATGAATTCATTTTGTTTATGATTAAATCAGATCCCTAATTTTAATCGGCTGTTAAGTCTGCCGTCTTACATAATCTTGACATTTTGTTCTAACTGCTGATTGTCCTAACTATATACTCATAGAGCAAACAATACGAGAAATAATTTGAGAGCATATAAAATTTTCATTCATAAATCGGGTGCCAGTAGTGGACATTTTACATGTGAAAATCCAAAAAAGATGAAAGTTAACTAACAAAAAACATACATTGAAATTGAGTATAGCCTAACAAAACTAGAATGTCACCCAAATCAAGTCTTAGGATCAGACTCAAGCGGCTTAACGTCCACCTGCTCGTATGGAATTGGCATGGCCAATGTAACTCTAGCGGCAGCAAGGGCTTTGAGCCAGCCGTGTCTGAAGCCCCGATTCTCAAATTTGGGGACTTCTTCTACATAGTCATTAAAAGCGGCTCTCTTCCCAGCCTCGAACGCCACTGAAGCATCAGATTCGGCTTTTTCCTTGGCCTGCTTCAACCCTTCCAACTCGGCCTCCAGTTTCGCAACCGCCTCCTTGGCTAACTTGCGCGATTCCTCGCTCACGTTTGCCCTCTCCTCGACGTCAGACCTGAGTTGATCAGCAGTCCTGGCCCTTTTCTTCTCAGCCTCTGCTCGTGCACTTTTCATTGCGGCTCTCATTGCCTCGAGCTCTGCCCTGCTCCTTTGGCCATCGACTTCTAATTGCAAACGGCCAATCCTTTCGACAGCATCACGCTGGCGTCGGCCTAATTCGGCGATCCTTCCAACCGTCTGCAAAACAAAGGATCGTCACATTCTAAGAAGCATCGAATGCAAACCAAAAGATCGTCACATTCCAAGGATAAACACGTACCAGAAGGGCCGACTGAGTAGCTAATGCTACCGTTGCCAAGTCCGTCTCGGCACGAAAGGTTACCTTGTCAGCGGGCAAGGAGACCGCGGCGGCCAAGCTCAATGCCACACCTGGATTTTTCAAAGCCGACGCTTCAGAAGAGATCGACATGTTTTTTATCTTTGGTTCAATGATGAAAGGGGCAACCACAGCCGACTCCTCTAAGCATGGCCGCTTATCAACAGGGACCTTTTCGGAGACGTCCCTGTCCTCGGCGCTTCTTTTTTCGCCTCGATCCTCCGAAATCAGTCGATCTTCTGTAATCGGGCGCTCGACATCCTTTTCCGTCTCGGCGATGACAACCCGAGCCGATTCCTCTACAATAGTATGTTGCAGAACAGTAGGTTGAACATACTCAGTTAGGACAAGTCCGGAACGGATGGCCTCGGCCTTTTTTCGGGCGGCCATGCGTTGGCGTTCCTCTTCCGTGCCATCTGCGTAAGATTTTCCCCAGCCATATCTTCAGAGTAATCACCAGGAAGGTCACCCAAGTTTGAAAAAATATCTTTGAAGGCGTCCCCTCAGCCTGATGTAGACAGAGGGTCAGAAGAATTCAATCTGGATTCCTCGAAGGCCGAATTGATCGCTTCGTCAACTTCCGCGGCCAACCGGTCTGAATCCTCGGCGATTGGTTCGGCCACCTGTTCTTTCGCGTGTTCAGAATCAGATGACTCTTAACCGATCTGCCTCAAGTTTTTGAAGATGGGGAAGATGAGGGCAGCAAGTTGATTGTCGCCTCGCGCGATCGGAATGTTGTCTGCTGCCGAGAATGTTGTGTAAGTTAGCTCATACTGTAGGAGTGTGTGGGCTGCCCTCCTTTGTTTTTGAAGGTTTGGACGGCCGATGAACTGTAGTGCGGTTTTGATTTCTGCGAGCACGACGTCCTCGTCTGAAACCAGCACTCTCTTCAAATCGCGGCCTGCACAAACAAAATGATAAGATGAACATAGTGCCGAATACATATACATGCGAATATGAAAAGCAAAGTGATCTAATCGGCCACCTGGTTCGCCTTTTTTCCTTGTCACCGTGTCTAGGCGATCTTCGCCTTCGCCGAACTCCCAGTTGCCGCGGACAACGGCCATCACGTCGTCGACACGCTTGCCAGAGCTGGCGAGCATAGTCACTAAGTGGTGATCAGTATCCTTAGCTCTAAGAAAGTAGCGCCCTAGTCGGCCAGTAGATTTGGCTAAGGCGTAACAGTACTGAATGGCAGGAATACCTAAATTAGTCCTAAGACGATGATTTAGTTCTACGATCCCCATTATGATGCGAAAGAAATTGGCGTTGGGCTGGGAAGGGATTAGACCCCAGTATCTAAGAACGGCCCTCAAAAGTGGGTGAGGAGGGAAGCGGACTCCGCCCTCAGCAATTGATAGGAGAGGAAAGACGATTGTGCTCTCATCTTCCCTCTGCATATCAGTGATGCTGTCTGCCAAAAGTGACAGATAGACGTCATCAGGGATGGAGAAATGGCGTCAAAAGTCGGAGATTCGATCCGCCGAAAGGAGCTCTTTCAGATGTTTTGCCATTCTTTTTAAGCCAAACCCAAGGATTACGGAAAGTTAAAAGCAAATAAAGAAGAGGGATCAAAAATAAAGGAGAAGAAAACTTACAAGAGATAAAAGGAGAAGCGAGAAACAAGGAGTTGTAGAAGCCGCGAAGAGATAAAGTTGCACTAGAGGGCGAGCAAGATATCTTTTGAACATTCAGGACATACACTCGAAGAGACAATTTCAAATCATATTAAATGGAAGCAGTGCACGAAGGGGTGGGAAAGCGTTACGATAACTAAGAAGCGTGTGTGCATTCTGGCACGCATTGGTAAGAGGGTTAATCGCCGAATTTTTGACTTCCCAGGCTAAAAGCCAAACACGCCGACTAACTGATGCTAGTAGGGTGTTTGGGGGGCAATTGTGGGAGCCGGATTTTATTAGACCCACAGGAACGGATGAGTGTGTCCGGTCCGAAACGTAACCTCTATTCGGCATATACCCCAACCAATCAAGGAGCCGAGTAAAATAACCAGTATCCCAGCCAGTAGAACAGACGCCGAATAGAGGTACATGTGACGGAACAAGGATGGGACCAGCCTAAAGGCCCAAAGAAAATACTATAAATACGGGATCACCCACCAGAGAAAGGTATGTGAGAATTATTACACTTTAATTAAAATATAAGCAATTCAGAGATTAAAGATTGACTTGCCCGTCGGAGTGCTAATTTTGGCACCCCCGACCAGAGTGTTTATCCCTTTTCAGGTGACTAGAAGAGGATCACTATCGTCTCCCAGGATCAGAAGAGTATTTCCGAAACCACTTCTCCAGATTCAGTAATCCCGGAGTATAGACACGTGGTGTTCCATAAGGTTTTGATTGGTAGAAAAGGGTAGGGGCCCACGATTTATATTAGAGATGGGGGAACAACATGAGACTAAATAATTAGTGATTGGCTTGGAGTATGACCACGTGGTATTCTGGAATTATTGAATAATTTTTTTCTACCTACTTTTTCACCAATTATAATATTATGAAATATTACATGACCATACTTTAGAATTACTGGATAATTATCCGCTCGAGGGAGGGTGAAGAAGAACAAAAATCTGTGGCAAATTGTCAAAATTCCAACATGATTACTGTGAGACAAATCCATAAATCAAGTGCATGACTGTCGTCTGCTTTCCTAGAGTAGTATCGAGATATCTAGGAAAGAACGAGCAGATATCCATCCCACCACAATTACAAACCCGGAATGGAAAATACATTTTCAACAATATAACAATCTCAATCTTGGAGTTAGATATGATTGGTTAGTAACTTTTTCCGTTGAAGTATACTACAAATTTGTTCATTCTTGACTTTTACTAAAATGTGACATAATATTTTTTACGGTATACCTTTTTTAAGAAGTGTGCACCATAAATTTCTCTTTAAATTGAATATATATTTTTTAGAGTGTTTTTATGATCACATTTTATGCTTTATACCTTGCTGAAACTAGACAAGAATAGGGTGAGCCATAGTTAGCTCTCTTCAAAAATAAAATAAATAAATAAATATGAAATAGATAATATCTTTCATAATTTGCTGCCTTGGATGGAACTTCTAAAACAACTAGTGTAACCATTGTATTGAATTTCATTTTATTATTACTATAAAAATTTATTATAAAAAAATTCAGAATTTGAGCTTTGTAATAAAATAAATCATGAGTTTTAAATTTTATTAATTTAAACTCTAATCATTTGATTTGTTTTCAATCTAAAACATTCACTTATTTTGTTAAGTAAAACTTGAAAAAAAAAATATATTTTAGTCATTAAACTTAACGAAAATGGTATATTTTAGTCATTAAATTCAAAGAAAATTGATATTTTTTTAAAACAAATCAAATAATTAAAATCTGAATTGATAAAATTAAAAACTTAGTGTTTATTTTGTTATAAAGCTCAAATCTTGAAGTTATTTTTTTATTTTTATTTTTTTTGTAATTTTCCCTTCTTTTTGTTGGGCTGGGAAGGGATTAGACCCTAGTATCTAAGAACGACCCTCAAAAGTGGGTGAAGAGGAAAGCGGACTCCGCCCTCAGCAATTGATAGGAGAGGTAAGACGATTGTGCTCTCATTTTCCCTCTGCATATCAGTGATACTGTCTGCCAAAAGTGACAGATAGACGTCATCAGGGATGGAGAAATGGCATCGAAAGTCGGAGATTCGATCCGCCGAAAGGAGCCCTTTCAGATGTTTTGCCATTCATTTTAAGCCAAACCCAAGGATTACGGAAATTTAAAAGCAAATAAGGAAGTGGGATCAAAATTGAAGGAGAAGAAGACTTACAGGAGATAAAGGAAGAAGCAAGAAACAAGGAGTTGTAAAAGCCGCGAAGAGATAGAGTTGCACTAGAGGGCGAGCAAGCTATCTTGAACATTCAGGACATACACTCGAAGAGACAATTTCAAATCATATTAAATTGAAGCAGTGTAAGCGGTGCTCTTCCCATGTTACGATGACTAAGAAGCGTGTGCGCATTCTGACACGCATTGGGAAGAGGGTTAACCGTCGAATTTTTGACTTCTCAGGCTAAAAGCCAACCACGCCGACTAACTGATGATAGCAGGGTGTTTGGGGGGCAATTGTGGGAGCCAGATTTTATTAGATCCATAGGGACGGATGAGCGTGTCCGGTCTGAAACGTAACCTATATTCGGCATATACCCCAACCAATCAAGGAGCCGAATAATATAACCAGTATCCCAACCAACAGAACTGACGCCGAGTAGAGGTACATGTGACGGAACAAGGATGGGCCCAGCCCAAAGGCCCAAAGAAAATACTATAACTACGGGATCACCCAACAGAGAAAGGTATACGGGAACTATTACACTTTACTTCAAATATAAGCAATTCAGAGATTAGAGACTGACTTGCCCGTCGGAGTGCTAATTCTGGCACCCCCGACCGGAGTGTTTATTACTTTTCAGGTGACTAAAAGAGGATCACTAGCGTCCCCCGGGATCAGAAGAGTATTTCAAAACCACTTCTCCATAGCCATCACGCAAGAGAGTCCGAATAAGTATCCGAGTGTTCGAACCCTAATGTAAAAGAAATAATAAGTAAAGAACATAAGTACGTACATGCCATAATGCAAGATGGTCCGAACAAGTGTCCGAGTGTTCGAACCTAATGCATGAGAAATTGTAAGTAAACATCATAATTACATATCTGCCATCAAA